TTTTCTGAAATGCTGGACTGCTTCACTGTTAAAATCCTCAGAATAGAACAAGTTGGTAGTGTGAAATGGGAAACAGCAAACTACAAGTCCAAGTGTTGTTTTTTGAGGAAAAGTGGCATTCAGCAGCACCGTGTTACAAATTCAATACATTATAATATGAATTACATACACTAAAGATGCTACTAATAATAATGTATAACATAATGATGTCTGTAGTATATAATATATTATAATAATATGATATTAACATATTGATATCATAATATCATAAAATTAAATGATACAATATATTTTTATAAAATATAATGTGTAAAATTAATACGATGAAATAGTGTGTGTATAATATGGAAGTATCGTATAATATAACAATATATAATATATATAATACAACCTAGTACATGCAACATGGTCATTTCGCAAAATCTCGTAATCGGGGAGAGGATAAAAAGATTGATCAAAATGTGGAAGGAGATAATATATCTTGAGATACGTGTGAAACAAAACCCACCTAGAAAAACTTTTGCCAAAGTCACCGAAAAACTAAATATTTTATTAAAAAAATCACCATACGATTGTCCTGTTCGCAGCGTTCCTTTGGGCCCTTTCCAACTGGAAACCACTTCGCTTTGCTGTGAGGTTGATTCAAGCGTGAAAAAGCGAATAGGACAGTAGCAGTAGTCACTGACGAACCGCGGGAGGTTTCACAGTGTTTGAAGTGCTTTAGCGTGAATCACTAAATGGTTTATGCAGGAGAAGCAGAATAAATCAGTGCTGACCAGCATTGTCATGAGAGGGACGCTTCAAATTTGGGAAAACAGTCGCACTAGTGGCACTCACTGGGGCAGCTGGACCTAGTGAAACCTTAAAAGAAAGAGGGAGTTTACGTGGTATGTGACAGGGAAACTTAGTGACTGAGAGTTGGGTACAGCGCTTGCATATGTACTCATGTACAGTCAACACTCGTGCGCACTCACGGATGATCAGTCAATCGTCACCAGTTCATCGCACGTCAGTTTCCCCTCATTCATTTGATCATAACGTAGCAGTACTGCATCTGGTTTGGCCCAAATAAAACTGCTCTCGCAACGTAAAACAGCCTGTCTGTTTTAACTGGAAACAGACAGCTACGTATTCTTAGACTATGGAAGTGATTCCTTGCAAGCAAAAGTTGTGTCGAATGATGTCAGCAGTTTCGGTTCGTGTTTACCAGATTGAGAACAAGGGATTCCTTACATGATATACACTTAAGTGCACTTTTTTATGAAGTAAAACGTCAGTTGTCATTTGGCAGTAGAGCTCAGATCAACAGATCTAGGAGTGATTTACTAGAGAGCAGAAAGTACAGAATGTTTGAAGGCGTCAAAGTAGCTTTCGTGCCAGTTTTATTTAACGTCGTAAGCGGATCTATCGGCTTTGAACGCAAATGATTATTACTTCTGGTGACAAACACTGTTGATAGTCACACCACTCTCGTTTGAACGGTCGAAATCCTGTTCTGGCGTAATTATTCCGGTGAGTCCACACCAAAGGGAAGCACTGAACCCGAGTTTAACTCCGATTAGAGCTTATCAGGCACGTGACAGGATTTGAACCCCGGACATCGGACATGCGAGGCGAGCGTGTAACCCCTACTAGACCAACGTAATTCGGACGCATCTGAATTTTCACGTCTGAACAGGCGAACGTGTTCACACTTGAGCAGTGTGATTGGTATGCCCGACTTATCCAGTGACTGTCCTGGTTGTGGCAATCGACTGACCCTCCAGTCAGGACTTCCCACTCAGGTAGCGTGACGCACGCCTGAAACCCACTGGGCAACTTTTTGTTTACAGTTTTGGGGTTTTGCCGGATAGGTATCTTGTCCATAGTCACACGTTTCGGATATCACTTGTGTAGCTTTAGCAATGAGCATACAACTCGTACTACTGTCCAATTACCTGTTGCTTACTTTCTGAGTTGTCAAGCTGTAATTCAGTTAAGGTTTCTCGGTGGCACATTTGTCTGGGAAGAAACCATGAAGAAACGATGAATGAACCAAGGTGGACTGGCAGAGCACCTAGCAGCTAAGAGGTTTCGGTGAAGGACTCAATCCCGAGTTGGTTGCCAAGCTCAGGGAGCTGCTCAACAGCCGCCTGATCAATTACCAGTGAAAAGTATTTTTAAAAATCTTTGTTAGATACCAACGTATTCTTGCATTCTGTCCGAAGAGCTGGGGATATGTAACAGGCAAGAAGATGGACTACTTCCCTTATGTCAGACTCCCAACCCCCCCAAAAATACTCTTTATTTTGTTAGCCCTTCAGAAGGCGATTTCTTCGATGATGAGTTTAGTTTTCGGAAGGAAATTTTGAATTGTTGTCCACGAGCGACGTTTCCATTCAAAGTTGAAATGAACAGCGACTTGGAGTTAAGTTTAGACTAGTTTTCCCGGTCAAACAACTTTGCTCTAGTAGTGAAGTACGTGAGATACCAGAAGGATGACGTTAGATCAGAGGATTTTACCTAAGGTCACAAATGATTGGAAAGTCGGCGCCACTTTCAAACTCAGACAGACGTCGATGTGTGTGTGCGTAGACCTCGAAGATTTTTCTATCGATGGTCGTCAGTCTAACATGATCAATCATTGGAAATTTAGTCTTATTTGCTATCTGACAAGTAAATCTAAATATAAAACTACGTGGACCCTTGTTGTTTTTCTCCGGCATTGTGAGGTTTTATGAAAACTGACCATGAAAACTTCAGAATATTTTCCTGGTAGTTTTGAACAAAGTCTGCGCTATAAAGGCACTCTTCTCTCCAGCTTTACAGAAATTTTTGAGAGAATTCTATACTATCGCCTACAGCAATACTATCCTAAAGTTTACGTCATTAAAACAAGGTGGACAATAGTGGTCCTCAGTTTATAACTTTCAGTGAAAATCTCAACTAGTGATTTATGTCAGGTAAACTTAACCAGGAAGAAATTTGATGGTTTCATCTCACTAAATCCTCGCATTTAACAACTCTAGTAGGTGCAGAATTTGAGCTAATAAATTGCCACTTGAGAAATGCGTTATTTCATCAATTCATTCTGTACCCAATATTTGGTTACCCTTAATCACCTGTCCTATGGTAGCATGAGTGAAGCTCAGTATGTTTTTCTCAAGCGCTTGCTGATTCATTGCCGAAGTGGTACAACATAGAATGATGCATTTTGCAAAGTGTACCCAAGAGCACCTACGGGCATGAGTTAGTCCCTTCTAATAATGATTTAAACAGCTCCTTTGACAATCTTGTAGAGATCGTGCCGAAATCATGTGCAAACTGGCTTTAGACTGCCACTGACGATTGTGAATCTTGTAGGCAAACGCTGCAACATTGACAGAGTGTCGTCCCGAGTCAGTTTTTCTTTCTATTGGTGTTCTTTATAAGTTACTTGTAAAACCGGAAAAACGCCTCGCAAAATCAGCGCATTTGGAAGATGCGTTAGAGCAGGGTTGAGTGGATCTTGTAAGTTTTTTAAATTACTTATTTCTTGGCCTATGTTTTTTGTTGTGCATTTTCGGGTCAGCAGGTAAATGGTGTTTATAATGACCACCACATACGAGTATTATTATCGAGTAAAATGAAAGTATTTTTAGGCCATTTTTTCAAGTATTCCTGTCTTGCGATAATTAATAGCCCCCTTGTAAACGTTGGCTGACTAGAAAGTCACATGTTTTCTAAAGCCAGTCGGCCAAATGTTCCTCTAGATGTCTCGTCCTGTTTGATGAATTACGTGCTACGAAGAAGCTTCCCTACGGGCACCTAGACAGCTACGTTGAACTGGTCCACTTGATTCGAGAGGTTGGGCTGAAGTGAAAATCTTGGAGAATGTGTTATTCTAACATTCGCATGTGACTTATTGGGGCGAAAATCATCATCATCATCATCATCATCATCATCATCATCATCATCATCATCATCATTGTCAGTTGTAAGAACCGCGTACTGGTCGTACACTGGTTGTAGCTGCCACAGTTTCGTTCACCGATGATT